GCTCGATCCATTCTACTTGACGCTAATCGAATGAATTGACGTCTATCGTTTTATTGTGGCTGACAACTGTAACAGCTCTGATGTGAATTTCCACAGACGAATATCCCCGTATAACAATGTCCATTTTCTCACTAGAGATGGGGCTTGCGTAAACTGCTTCGTGAGATAGTCATGTTTCGTTCAACATATCAGGCGTGCCCCCGTGCTAAACTCCAACCAACGAATCGCTAAATTACACCCTAAGATGTTTGCTAAAGTTATCCAATAAAGCCTCATTTAGCGCCCAGTCCACCAAGTGCCTTTGCGGAAGCATGAAACACTGAATACTTACTTGTACTCTTTCCCAACTTGGATCTATTACTCGATTCTCTGGGGGGAGGGGGGATTATACATTGCGACTTTATTGGAGTTATTTGAACTTCTGGTAGGAAACACGTTGTACCAGACACAAGATTCTGATATGTCCACACCGTTTTGATGCAGAGAAGCTAAGGAAATTGTGGAGAATGAAAGAAAAAGCATATTGCTCATATGGCACGTAAGCGTTAAAACTGCTAAACATCTACGCCAAAGAAGAAAGCGTTTATTCCAACCCGTCGTAAATAAGTAGCATACAAAATGGCATTTCTGTCCACCATTTGAAAAGTAAACTGAAAATCTATTGAATACCACATGACGCCCAGGAACTCAATAGTTATTCTGTCTCAGCAATAAGTGCAACCAATATATTGCACAAATCACCCAGGAATCCTGGGTGAAATGGAGCAATCCCTAGTCCTTCTTGATAAACGCGTTTTTCAAAGTTTTAAATCGATCAATGTTGATAAAGCTTCCAGACCCGTCGGCCCCATCTGGTATTTTGAAAACAGGGGCCAAAGACTTGGCTCCCATTTCCTCCTCCATATTCACTCGATATCTGTCAGTAGGCAAACTCGGACTAATTGCAAAATGTACGCATAACCCCTATACCTAAGAAGAAAGAAGGAATATTCTTGCCCCTAGCCTCCACTCCGGTTCTACTCAAAACTCTCCAGCGAATTGATATCGATGATTTGAAGTCCACTTCTCATATTTTGGATTCAAACCAATTTCTCAAGCAAAACAGCGCTCGACTCCACCGATTGATCAGAAAGGGAAAGTAATTTGCGTACTTTTCCTGGATTACAGGAATGCTTTCCTTTCCCTTACCAGAGATACTCAACTATCAACTTCGAAGCAATGAGAGATATGGCCGATTTTTCCAATTTCTTATTGAGCTATTTCATAAAGCGATCTCAATTCACACATTTTAATGGTCATAGGTTCTCAACGATCCCTGTTAACTCCTGTATGATGCCGGGTTCTATCTTATCACCGTTTTTGTTCATCTGATATATCCCCACTACATCAACCTTCACTTTGAAATATGCTGATGGCATTGTGTTCTTTTCTGATTTCCGGAACAGTGATTTTGTCAGTCTACGACAATAGTCAGTCTCTACGATGACGGAGTCATCCAACGTCGTAAATATAACACTCAATCTCAACAAGTGTGTAGATGTACTAACTTCAGTGGACCGTAAATCCACATCAAAATCAAATCATCCAGCATACGAGGGTTCAAAAATTGAGACGGAGTGGCACTAGAAAGAGCTTAATGAATCATGCGATCAGGTCTTAACTCCATCCAATATGTACAAGATAATTTTATCAGGGTTTGAAGGCTGATATTCTTCATCTCCCACCTGAGGTGGCTAAGAGTTCTAAGTTTATTTATCCCGTGTAGAACGTCACTAATGACACAACAACCTTGTCACTTTTTCTGGATTGCTTGTCAGTGACATTTCGTTGATCAAATGCTCCCATACATTTACTTCAAAATAAAACAAATTGTCCTGCGCTGATTTACTGGACTTCGCAAAACATCAATTTTTTGCCTGTGGCCGGTTTTCATGCACTGAACATTTCGATGACGCATCTGATGAACTCATACCTCACTCACTCCCTCTCCTGGTATGTTTTACTAAGCTGCACAAAGCAGATTTAAATAGACATATTCACGGGCTACAAAGCCTCATAACTTGGATACTCCATGTCTAGTCATGCTGCTGGTTTCCAATGAACATCTTACCAGAGAACTAATCACGACTGTCCGTCTTCTGTCTGCTTGCTCATTACCAACCACGGTAGACTGACCCAGTAATGATCGTGTTTTATTTATCATATTCTCGAAGCATGGGATTGGTAACTTCTTACTGAAAATCGGACAAAAAAGCACATGTTTGACTGACTCAATTTGGTTGCATTTAGTTCGTACGATTATGTTGGTATATATATATATATATATATATATATATATATATATATATATATATATATATATAACATCAGTTAGCTAGGGATTACATTTTGCATAATGTGATGAAGTCCTGACGTTCAGTATGCCGTTGAGAGTTGGCTCCTATAGAGTGCGTCTGAGTACGAATGGGGTTTGGTGGATGTGCAATGCTGATGATTCTAAACACGGATAATACAGTAACACTATGTCTCTATGGTTTTCAATACAGAATTGGGAATGCATACCGCCTGATTACTAAGTCATGTAATATAAATATATGGAGACAGACCGAAATTATAACAGATATATTTTCGTAATGTGACGCCGTTTTTACAATGGAATTCCACATGATTCTGTTACCAAAAGATATCCTTCTCCGTCACTCCATAATAGAATCGTTTCTTTCATTTCAAAGAACGAGAAGTGCTCAACAGCCATGCAAATTCAGTTCATTCGAGTGCACCCAACCACCTACCGTGCACAGAAGGAAATGGTCTTCGTGGATCTCCTTCCGAGAAAACTTCAAGGGGTACTCAAAAATCATAGTAGGAAAAATGTTTCCAAGCTAACGACAAGTATTATTATCACTTCAGTAGAGAACGTGTGCAGAAAGAAGAGTCTCACCGATGGCGATATCCGGTCACCTGGCATCTAACCATCAAATGGATAGCTTCTTTGGACCTCAGTTTAGCTAACAAGCTTAGTTACTTCAAGAGCACCATTTGTGGAAACCATCAGGTTCTGATCAAACATCTGACGGATAACATCATCAATGTAGAAATACCGACTGAGTCTTTAGGGGAAGTTTTGGTCAAGTGCAGTTCCGATGTATGGTTTATGTTTAATGGAAGCTTTATTCGAGTAAACGATGGTATTGCAATAGGTCCCCCTTGGCCTTTTTTAGCTGAATTCTTCATGCCCATGACTAAGTCCAATAATTTAAAAGACAATATCACACGTCTTGATGCGTATTGCTGTTTTGTAGATCATTTATATTGCATAACAGACTCAAACTGTGATATAGGAAATCTATTGCACACGATCAATAAAGCGCGTGAATCAGTAACGTTCGTAGTCGAAATGGAAACGAGAGACCAGATGCCCTTCCTTGATGTGCACCCTCAACAGAACCGAGGATGGGTTCATTCAACATAGCCAAGATGTTATTTCAAAAGTTCCTTTTTGATAACAATCTAGAACAAGGACAAATTACCGATACTGACCGTTCCCATGGTTATTCATTCATTCAGTTGCGTCTGTGACTCACTCTACTTCAATCGAACGGTGACTGTCTTCCCACATTAAAAGGCAACACCCGTGTTGGCTAATTCAAGGTGGGTCCAGAGTTATTTCTATCTCAACTCTCAATCATTTGGTCGACACTGGTCGTTGAGTTGATCGCAATCAATCAATTTGAGATACTTCACCAGGTGCCTGAAACGGATCGAAACAAGCCCACATACGCACACTAGCTATCACCGAAGTCATCGGAATAAGACAAATAGCACCGAACCTCTGTGCACAAAAAAGCGAAAAATGCCCTCCAACCACCAAAAATGGTCTACGATCGCACCGACACACAACGCACACACACACACACACACACACACACACACACACACCACATACGAACATTCGTGACTGCCATGCAGATCAACTGACCTCCGAGTTATAATTCCCCGATCCCATTCCTCAATGGAACGGCACTATGACTGTGTCCACTTCATTCTCCATCACACCTATACACCGTTGGGACATTTGGTTAGCAAATCCTCTATCCCCAGGATTTTCAGTCATGTAAATTGTGAAAGTATAATTATGAATTGTCAAAAAGTTGTACACCTGAAATTAATTTGACTATGGGCATTTCCCCCCGACTGAAACTTAGTTATATTTCATGGGCCCCGTTTCGTTTCTACTCAGTAAATACAATGCACGCAATTTGAACTCACGTGGTTAAAACATTTCGTGTCGTTTGGTAATCTATACATCGTCAGAGTGAAAAGTGCCGTTTCGCTAGACCCCCATCGGGATTTTCATATTAGCAAAATATTATCGTGCAAAAATGTCTCAGTGGATAAATGATGAAGGCAGGATTATTAGCGCTGAACACAAGTCGAATCTCCTAGTTGAGTGTTGAGACCTACAAACAAGCACACTCATGAAACATATAGTGTGCTGTAGGCAGCATAATAAAAACACAATTGACTACGTTGAGACCACTGGAAGATCAGATTAAAGTTTTGCCTGTATTTGTCAACGGAAGGATGATACTAATAATAGTACTCAGTAATCAGAGTGACTATCTGGCGAGAGGTGTTGTTATGTTATCGTAAGCAATGTGACACGCTCTCATCTGGTATTGGTACAATGAACCCAGGAATTCCTCCCTTCAGTAAAATGGCTGTTGCTCATAGTAGTAAGAAAACCCCCATGGTAACGAGCACATCTCACAAACAGCCTTGGTAACTGAAATTAGGAAGGCACACAAATTACTGTCATTCCGTGGGCGTAGGGGAAAGAAAGTCGAAATCATGTAAAAAAAAACTCGAGAACCAATAGGCAGCTGTGTTACAGGTGAAGACACATTGGATATTGATGAGTCTGGATATTCGTCAAGTATAAAAATCACGGTATTTTCGACTGATCTAGATCGGATAAAGCAGTTGAACGTACCATGAAGATGCTTTCACGCTGTGCAGCAGTCCTACTGCTAATTTGTCTTTGCGTAGCCTCAGGTGAGTGATTATTTAGCAACAGAGATTGATAAAACCGTAGGCATTAGACGTATTCAAATCTGAGACATTCTAAAGCATGTATTTTCATTTTACAACGAAATAGGATGATAAATGTAAACAAGGCCTGTGATTATGTTAGATGAACAAAATTACAAAGACCACGCACGCAAATATATATTATTCATTTGATCGGTTTCAAATCACTCGCTTTTGTTCAATTTGTGTATAACGGAGATTAGTGAGGATGATGAACACTGCATGCACTGAGGCGGGTTATGCACAACGAAATCAAAACAAGTGTTCGGAAATATTGTGCCGTGTAGACCGTCCGATCAGTGTACTGGATCGTAACACACTTGCATACCAGTTCTTCCGCTCAAATCTGGATGTTCGTTATGCGCATATTTGTTATTTGTGTTCGGCTTGCGTAGCATACCAGCATCAAATACACGACACTGCGTAACTGATTAGTCAGTTTCACGATGTTATCTGAAGCATTGATAAATGGCCCAGTGCTGTTAACAGATAGCGCGTCATAGGCTGCCCAAAATCGATGGCAAATTTCACGCCAGAGAAGCGCGTCGATGACCCAATCAATTCTTAAAGAATCTGGAAGATATTATCCAATCAACCGCCAACAGTCACTCTCATCGAACCGAGCGAAATCAACTAATCAGCAGCCTTGAGTTTTTCAGTTGAATGCAGGTGAATCAACTAAACAGGAGCCAACAGTTGCTTTTACCCACCGGAACGGTTTCAGCCAAAAGGCAACTTATCCAAAAAGCCAATCCGAAGACCCCGTCGGGGGGAGTGTTTTGGACCAATGCGATTCATACCACTGTCTGGACTTCGGTCAACTACTGTCCTATAAAAACAGCTTATATTTGTGCAACAAACATGATAGGTCTGAAGTAGGAGATTCTTCCAACCAAACCTACCGGGACTGATCTTACTGGACCCTAGAGTGTTTTGACAAAGAATATGTCCAGAACATGAAATATTGCCATCGAAGCAGTTGAGTATGATAGATCCGAGTCGTTTGGCTGAACAGTGGCGGTTGTGGAATCACAACTGTGGAGATTTAGCCGTATTCACCAGTTTATATTTGGAAAGAAATGAACGCCAAATGCACATGCATCGTCGCTGTTTGGGAGATGATTCCACAAGAGTACTGAATACCATCAAATCTGACGTGAAAGATGACTTACAGGACTCACGAACGGTGCTACAAAAGATGCATGACAATTAGTTGATTCTACGGAATGGAATGCTTCAACGGAACCAGTAATTTTTGAAGAGAACAGAGGGAGAGCGAAACAATCGATGACTGAGTCATTGCTGTGAAAAATCTGGCCAACTCGTGTGATTTACGTAACTATATGAAAGCCCGCCTTATGCCTGGAGTTCGGAATGAATATACCACCAAACATTTGTTGCACATGCTCCCGTTTGACTAGAAAGCCCAAATCGATATTTGCATAAGCTATAAGCTGGACACTAGTCAGGTTGATCGCCTCACTGAAAGCATAATAGAGACCGATTCAAAAGTGATAACGGGATTCGCCCTCGTCGAGTGCACGGTTCATAAAAGTCCACATTGAAGACGAAAAGAAAACTCTCCAGCCTGGTCCAGGACGTGTTCTTACCGTTGTGAGCAGAATCGGTTTACTTGTACGTGTCGTTCAGTTCCCACAAAGCCAGTCAACCGTTCAGTGGAGTCAAAGCACGCTGTAAGCGGTCTCCCAGGTGGCACCACGAATAAAGGAGTATTGGCGAAAATTCTGGCAATTGGGAAACTCTTTCGGGTCTAAATGGATTCGGGGACCTCGGTGAATACAATTCCCGTGTTCTGCGTTGATCCACTGGAGATCCGCAATTGCAACACCAGTTTGGCAACGTAGTACGGAATTGAAACTGATGCCTTGGGAGAAATTGAATTGCAATTCAAAATCCCAAGGACCACACCGAAAGAATAGTCACGTTCATAGTGAGAAAGACCAATTGGTTGTCAATATTAGGACTGGATGCGATCCAAGAGCTAGAATTTGTCACTGTATGCCATGGAAATTTCGTCAACGTTTTACAAAGTCAGTTTGACTCAGCATGTATCAGTTATTTGATTCTCAGTTAAAGCATTTATCCGAAAAGATACATTTGTCAGTGATTGATGGTGTTTTTCCCATTTCATTGCTGGTCTGTGAGGTTTCAGTGGTAATAGGGGAAACTGTGCAGTATAAGACCGAGTGAATAATGCGCCTCGAGGCAATTGCTGTAGTTGGCCAGTCAACTGATTGGGTTAGCCAGATCGTGAGCAGAGTAAAGAAATCAGAAGCGACTTGTATGTGCATAGATCCAAATAAAAGATGGGAGAAAACCCGACCATCGATAATTGACGACGTTCTCGATGATGTGAGTTGAGTATATTTGCTTAAGAAGGTTGATTTATATTCGGCAATCTGGAAGCTGAAATTCGATGATGATTCTAGAATTCTAACCTCATTAGGAACCCCATTAGGTCCATCCGTTGAGTTCGGTTGCATTTCATCCTACAATTTGACATCCGATCGATCTCATCCGTACGTTTGCTTGGTGGATTGGTTCATTGATTGAATAGTTGATTGATCTATTGTTTCACACTGATCTATGGATATCGTAATACTTGCTGTTGCCTTTTGTGTTCAGCGTGTCTTGCACACGAGTACCAATTGCACCGAGTTCTCTAGGTGATTATTCACCCTTGAGTGGTTTCGATCGAATTGGTAATAAAATTTATCATTTAGAAAAATGACCCCGTTGTATGCAGATATTGATACAGACAGCTATAAATAGACAGAGCGAGAGACAGTGATACATGCCGATAGATATACAGACAGGCTCATAGACAGAAAGACAGTCATGGAGAGACAGACATGCATATAGGTAGGCGGGCGGATTGATAGACAAACGGACTGACAGACTGAGAGACGGATCTAGAGATAGGAAGATAGACAGACTCACAGACAGACGGACAGGGGTACAGACAAATAGAGATATAAGGAGATAGACGGACACAGAATGTGACAGACGGAAAGACAAACAATCAGATAAATGGACAAACATAATGACTGACTGAATGAGATATAACAAACATCAGTGAGAAAGAGGGATAAGCAGAAAGTAGACTGGCTAACTTCTTGACAGGTATAGCAACGGAGAGAGTTCGAACGAGTCGCCATCATGCCTAACTAATTCTGATCCACCACTTTTCAGAAACTGCAACAACAGCTCAAACAACAACGACCACACCTGGTGAGTGCTTCTCGTGATATGCACCGTATGCAACAAGATTACACCAAAAACACATTTATTCAACCATGAAAACTATCTCATTGCTTTCTCGTCACACTGGCATGATTCGTGGCCGAATAGCACGACATGTGGTCATGTGCAATTTTGAAATGAATAGATACGATATAACAGGATGAGATGACGACGTCGAACCGCATTGACTAGAGAGCACATATTATGCAAATGCTAAAATGATTATTATGCCCTCAATTTGACATCCGATCGATCTCATCCGTACGTTTGCTTGGTGGATTGGTTCATTGATTGAATAGTTGATTGATCTATTGTTTCACACTGATCTATGGATATCGTAATACTTGCTGTTGCCTTTTGTGTTCAGCGTGTCTTGCACACGAGTACCAATTGCACCGAGTTCTCTAGGTGATTATTCACCCTTGAGTGGTTTCGATCGAATTGGTAATAAAATTTATCATTTAGAAAAATGACCCCGTTGTATGCAGATATTGATACAGACAGCTATAAATAGACAGAGCGAGAGACAGTGATACATGCCGATAGATATACAGACAGGCTCATAGACAGAAAGACAGTCATGGAGAGACAGACATGCATATAGGTAGGCGGGCGGATTGATAGACAAACGGACTGACAGACTGAGAGACGGATCTAGAGATAGGAAGATAGACAGACTCACAGACAGACGGACAGGGGTACAGACAAATAGAGATATAAGGAGATAGACGGACACAGAATGTGACAGACGGAAAGACAAACAATCAGATAGATGGACAAACATAATGACTGACTGAATGAGATATAACAAACATCAGTGAGAAAGAGGGATAAGCAGAAAGTAGACTGGCTAACTTCTTGACAGGTATAGCAACGGAGAGAGTTCGAACGAGTCGCCATCATGCCTAACTAATTCTGATCCACCACTTTTCAGAAACTACAACAACAGCTCAAACAACAACGACCACACCTGGTGAGTGCTTCTCGTGATATGCACCGTATGCAACAAGATTACACCAAAAACACATTTATTCAACCATGAAAACTATCTCATTGCTTTCCCGTCACCCTGGCATGATTCGTGGCCGAATAGCACGACATGTGGTCATGTGCAATTTTGAAATGAATAGATACGATATAACAGGATGAGATGACGACGTCGAACCGCATTGACTAGAGAGCACATATTATGCAAATGCTAAAATGATTATTATGCCCTCAATTTGACATCCGATCGATCTCATCCGTACGTTTGCTTGGTGGATTGGTTCATTGATTGAATAGTTGATTGATCTATTGTTTCACACTGATCTATGGATATCGTAATACTTGCTGTTGCCTTTTGTGTTCAGCGTGTCTTGCACACGAGTACCAATTGCACCGAGTTCTCTAGGTGATTATTCACCCTTGAGTGGTTTCGATCGAATTGGTAATAAAATTTATCATTTAGAAAAATGACCCCGTTGTATGCAGATATTGATACAGACAGCTATAAATAGACAGAGCGAGAGACAGTGATACATGCCGATAGATATACAGACAGGCTCATAGACAGAAAGACAGTCATGGAGAGACAGACATGCATATAGGTAGGCGGGCGGATTGATAGACAAACGGACTGACAGACTGAGAGACGGATCTAGAGATAGGAAGATAGACAGACTCACAGACAGACGGACAGGGGTACAGACAAATAGAGATATAAGGAGATAGACGGACACAGAATGTGACAGACGGAAAGACAAACAATCAGATAAATGGACAAACATAATGACTGACTGAATGAGATATAACAAACATCAGTGAGAAAGAGGGATAAGCAGAAAGTAGACTGGCTAACTTCTTGACAGGTATAGCAACGGAGAGAGTTCGAACGAGTCGCCATCATGCCTAACTAATTCTGATCCACCACTTTTCAGAAACTGCAACAACAGCTCAAACAACAACGACCACACCTGGTGAGTGCTTCTCGTGATATGCACCGTATGCAACAAGATTACACCAAAAACACATTTATTCAACCATGAAAACTATCTCATTGCTTTCCCGTCACCCTGGCATGATTCGTGGCCGAATAGCACGACATGTGGTCATGTGCAATTTTGAAATGAATAGATACGATATAACAGGATGAGATGACGACGTCGAACCGCATTGACTAGAGAGCACATATTATGCAAATGCTAAAATGATTATTATGCCCTCAATTTGACATCCGATCGATCTCATCCGTACGTTTGCTTGGTGGATTGGTTCATTGATTGAATAGTTGATTGATCTATTGTTTCACACTGATCTATGGATATCGTAATACTTGCTGTTGCCTTTTGTGTTCAGCGTGTCTTGCACACGAGTACCAATTGCACCGAGTTCTCTAGGTGATTATTCACCCTTGAGTGGTTTCGATCGAATTGGTAATAAAATTTATCATTTAGAAAAATGACCCCGTTGTATGCAGATATTGATACAGACAGCTATAAATAGACAGAGCGAGAGACAGTGATACATGCCGATAGATATACAGACAGGCTCATAGACAGAAAGACAGTCATGGAGAGACAGACATGCATATAGGTAGGCGGGCGGATTGATAGACAAACGGACTGACAGACTGAGAGACGGATCTAGAGATAGGAAGATAGACAGACTCACAGACAGACGGACAGGGGTACAGACAAATAGAGATATAAGGAGATAGACGGACACAGAATGTGACAGACGGAAAGACAAACAATCAGATAAATGGACAAACATAATGACTGACTGAATGAGATATAACAAACATCAGTGAGAAAGAGGGATAAGCAGAAAGTAGACTGGCTAACTTCTTGACAGGTATAGCAACGGAGAGAGTTCGAACGAGTCGCCATCATGCCTAACTAATTCTGATCCACCACTTTTCAGAAACTGCAACAACAGCTCAAACAACAACGACCACACCTGGTGAGTGCTTCTCGTGATATGCACCGTATGCAACAAGATTACACCAAAAACACATTTATTCAACCATGAAAACTATCTCATTGCTTTCCCGTCACCCTGGCATGATTCGTGGCCGAATAGCACGACATGTGGTCATGTGCAATTTTGAAATGAATAGATACGATATAACAGGATGAGATGACGACGTCGAACCGCATTGACTAGAGAGCACATATTATGCAAATGCTAAAATGATTATTATGCCCTCAATTTGACATCCGATCGATCTCATCCGTACGTTTGCTTGGTGGATTGGTTCATTGATTGAATAGTTGATTGATCTATTGTTTCACACTGATCTATGGATATCGTAATACTTGCTGTTGCCTTTTGTGTTCAGCGTGTCTTGCACACGAGTACCAATTGCACCGAGTTCTCTAGGTGATTATTCACCCTTGAGTGGTTTCGATCGAATTGGTAATAAAATTTATCATTTAGAAAAATGACCCCGTTGTATGCAGATATTGATACAGACAGCTATAAATAGACAGAGCGAGAGACAGTGATACATGCCGATAGATATACAGACAGGCTCATAGACAGAAAGACAGTCATGGAGAGACAGACATGCATATAGGTAGGCGGGCGGATTGATAGACAAACGGACTGACAGACTGAGAGACGGATCTAGAGATAGGAAGATAGACAGACTCACAGACAGACGGACAGGGGTACAGACAAATAGAGATATAAGGAGATAGACGGACACAGAATGTGACAGACGGAAAGACAAACAATCAGATAAATGGACAAACATAATGACTGACTGAATGAGATATAACAAACATCAGTGAGAAAGAGGGATAAGCAGAAAGTAGACTGGCTAACTTCTTGACAGGTATAGCAACGGAGAGAGTTCGAACGAGTCGCCATCATGCCTAACTAATTCTGATCCACCACTTTTCAGAAACTACAACAACAGCTCAAACAACAACGACCACACCTGGTGAGTGCTTCTCGTGATATGCACCGTATGCAACAAGATTACACCAAAAACACATTTATTCAACCATGAAAACTATCTCATTGCTTTCCCGTCACCCTGGCATGATTCGTGGCCGAATAGCACGACATGTGGTCATGTGCAATTTTGAAATGAATAGATACGATATAACAGGATGAGATGACGACGTCGAACCGCATTGACTAGAGAGCACATATTATGCAAATGCTAAAATGATTATTATGCCCTCAATTTGACATCCGATCGATCTCATCCGTACGTTTGCTTGGTGGATTGGTTCATTGATTGAATAGTTGATTGATCTATTGTTTCACGCTGATCTATGGATATCGTAATACTTGCTGTTGCCTTTTGTGTTCAGCGTGTCTTGCACACGAGTACCAATTGCACCGAGTTCTCTAGGTGATTATTCACCCTTGAGTGGTTTCGATCGAATTGGTAATAAAATTTATCATTTAGAAAAATGACCCCGTTGTATGCAGATATTGATACAGACAGCTATAAATAGACAGAGCGAGAGACAGTGATACATGCCGATAGATATACAGACAGGCTCATAGACAGAAAGACAGTCATGGAGAGACAGACATGCATATAGGTAGGCGGGCGGATTGATAGACAAACGGACTGACAGACTGAGAGACGGATCTAGAGATAGGAAGATAGACAGACTCACAGACAGACGGACAGGGGTACAGACAAATAGAGATATAAGGAGATAGACGGACACAGAATGTGACAGACGGAAAGACAAACAATCAGATAAATGGACAAACATAATGACTGACTGAATGAGATATAACAAACATCAGTGAGAAAGAGGGATAAGCAGAAAGTAGACTGGCTAACTTCTTGACAGGTATAGCAACGGAGAGAGTTCGAACGAGTCGCCATCATGCCTAACTAATTCTGATCCACCACTTTTCAGAAACTACAACAACAGCTCAAACAACAACGACCACACCTGGTGAGTGCTTCTCGTGATATGCACCGTATGCAACAAGATTACACCAAAAACACATTTATTCAACCATGAAAACTATCTCATTGCTTTCCCGTCACCCTGGCATGATTCGTGGCCGAATAGCACGACATGTGGTCATGTGCAATTTTGAAATGAATAGATACGATATAACAGGATGAGATGACGACGTCGAACCGCATTGACTAGAGAGCACATATTATGCAAATGCTAAAATGATTATTATGCCCTCAATTTGACATCCGATCGATCTCATCCGTACGTTTGCTTGGTGGATTGGTTCATTGATTGAATAGTTGATTGATCTATTGTTTCACACTGATCTATGGATATCGTAATACTTGCTGTTGCCTTTTGTGTTCAGCGTGTCTTGCACACGAGTACCAATTGCACCGAGTTCTCTAGGTGATTATTCACCCTTGAGTGGTTTCGATCGAATTGGTAATAAAATTTATCATTTAGAAAAATGACCCCGTTGTATGCAGATATTGATACAGACAGCTATAAATAGACAGAGCGAGAGACAGTGATACATGCCGATAGATATACAGACAGGCTCATAGACAGAAAGACAGTCATGGAGAGACAGACATGCATATAGGTAGGCGGGCGGATTGATAGACAAACGGACTGACAGACTGAGAGACGGATCTAGAGATAGGAAGATAGACAGACTCACAGACAGACGGACAGGGGTACAGACAAATAGAGATATAAGGAGATAGACGGACACAGAATGTGACAGACGGAAAGACAAACAATCAGATAAATGGACAAACATAATGACTGACTGAATGAGATATAACAAACATCAGTGAGAAAGAGGGATAAGCAGAAAGTAGACTGGCTAACTTCTTGACAGGTATAGCAACGGAGAGAGTTCGAACGAGTCGCCATCATGCCTAACTAATTCTGATCCACCACTTTTCAGAAACTACAACAACAGCTCAAACAACAACGACCACACCTGGTGAGTGCTTCTCGTGATATGCACCGTATGCAACAAGATTACACCAAAAACACATTTATTCAACCATGAAAACTATCTCATTGCTTTCTCGTCACACTGGCATGATTCGTGGCCGAATAGCACGACATGTGGTCATGTGCAATTTTGAAATGAATAGATACGATATAACAGGATGAGATGACGACGTCGAACCGCATTGACTAGAGAGCACATATTATGCAAATGCTAAAATGATTATTATGCCCTCAATTTGACATCCGATCGATCTCATCCGTACGTTTGCTTGGTGGATTGGTTCATTGATTGAATAGTTGATTGATCTATTGTTTCACACTGATCTATGGATATCGTAATACTTGCTGTTGCCTTTTGTGTTCAGCGTGTCTTGCTCACGAGTACCAATTGCACCGAGTTCTCTAGGTGATTATTCACCCTTGAGTGGTTTCGATCGAATTGGTAATAAAATTTATCATTTAGAAAAATGACCCCGTTGTATGCAGATATTGATACAGACAGCTATAAATAGACAGAGCGAGAGACAGTGATACATGCCGATAGATATACAGACAGGCTCATAGACAGAAAGACAGTCATGGAGAGACAGACATGCATATAGGTAGGCGGGCGGATTGATAGACAAACGGACTGACAGACTGAGAGACGGATCTAGAGATAGGAAGATAGACAGACTCACAGACAGACGGACAGGGGTACAGACAAATAGAGATATAAGGAGATAGACGGACACAGAATGTGACAGACGGAAAGACAAACAATCAGATAAATGGACAAACATAATGACTGACTGAATGAGATATAACAAACATCAGTGAGAAAGAGGGATAAGCAGAAAGTAGACTGGCTAACTTCTTGACAGGTATAGCAACGGAGAGAGTTCGAACGAGTCGCCATCATGCCTAACTAATTCTGATCCACCACTTTTCAGAAACTACAACAACAGCTCAAACAACAACGACCACACCTGGTGAGTGCTTCTCGTGATATGCACCGTATGCAACAAGATTACACCAAAAACACATTTATTCAACCATGAAAACTATCTCATTGCTTTCTCGTCACACTGGCATGATTCGTGGCCGAATAGCACGACATGTGGTCATGTGCAATTTTGAAATGAATAGATACGATATAACAGGATGAGATGACGACGTCGAACCGCATTGACTAGAGAGCACATATTATGCAAATGCTAAAATGATTATTATGCCCTCAATTTGACATCCGATCGATCTCATCCGTACGTTTGCTTGGTGGATTGGTTCATTGATTGAATAGTTGATTGATCTATTGTTTCACACTGATCTATGGATATCGTAATACTTGCTGTTGCCTTTTGTGTTCAGCGTGTCTTGCACACGAGTACCAATTGCACCGAGTTCTCTAGGTGATTATTCACCCTTGAGTGGTTTCGATCGAATTGGTAATAAAATTTATCATTTAGAAAAATGACCCCGTTGTATGCAGATATTGATACAGACAGCTATAAATAGACAGAGCGAGAGACAGTGATACATGCCGATAGATAAACAGACAGGCTCATAGACAGAAAGACAGTCATGGAGAGACAGACATGCATATAGGTAGGCGGGCGGATTGATAGACAAACGGACTGACAGACTGAGAGACGGATCTAGAGATAGGAAGATAGACAGACTCACAGACAGACGGACAGGGGTACAGACAAATAGAGATATAAGGAGATAGACGGACACAGAATGTGACAGACGGAAAGACAAACAATCAGATAAATGGACAAACATAATGATTGACTGAATGAGATATAACAAACATCAGTGAGAAAGAGGGATAAGCAGAAAGTAGACTGGCTAACTTCTTGACAGGTATAGCAACGGAGAGAGTTCGAACGAGTCGCCATCATGCCTAACTAATTCTGATCCACCACTTTTCAGAAACTACAACAACAGCTCAAACAACAACGACCACACCTGGTGAGTGCTTCTCGTGATATGCACCGTATGCAACAAGATTACACCAAAAACACATTTATTCAACCATGAAAACTATCTCATTGCTTTCTCGTCACACTGGCATGATTCGTGGCCGAATAGCACGACATGTGGTCATGTGCAATTTTGAAATGAATAGATACGATATAACAGGATGAGATGACGACGTCGAACCGCATTGACTAGAGAGCACATATTATGCAAATGCTAAAATGATTATTATGCCCTCAATTTGACATCCGATCGATCTCATCCGTACGTTTGCTTGGTGGATTGGTTCATTGATTGAATAGTTGATTGATCTATTGTTTCACACTGATCTATGGATATCGTAATACTTGCTGTTGCCTTTTGTGTTCAGCGTGTCTTGCACACGAGTACCAATTGCACCGAGTTCTCTAGGTGATTATTCACCCTTGAGTGGTTTCGATCGAATTGGTAATAAAATTTATCATTTAGAAAAATGACCCCGTTGTATGCAGATATTGATACAGACAGCTATAAATAGACAGAGCGAGAGACAGTGATACATGCCGATAGATATACAGACAGGCTCATAGACAGAAAGACAGTCATGGAGAGACAGACATGCATATAGGTAGGCGGGCGGATTGATAGACAAACGGACTGACAGACTGAGAGACGGATCTAGAGATAGGAAGATAGACAGACTCACAGACAGACGGACAGGGGTACAGACAAATAGAGATATAAGGAGATAGACGGACACAGAATGTGACAGACGGAAAGACAAACAATCAGATAGATGGACAAACATAATGACTGACTGAATGAGATATAACAAACATCAGTGAGAAAGAGGGATAAGCAGAAAGTAGACTGGCTAACTTCTTGACAGGTATAGCAACGGAGAGAGTTCGAACGAGTCGCCATCATGCCTAACTAATTCTGATCCACCACTTTTCAGAAACTACAACAACAGCTCAAACAACAACGACCACACCTGGTGAGTGCTTCTCGTGATATGCACCGTATGCAACAAGATTACACCAAAAACACATTTATTCAACCATGAAAACTATCTCATTGCTTTCTCGTCACACTGGCATGATTCGTGGCCGAATAGCACGACATGTGGTCATGTGCAATTTTGAAATGAATAGATACGATATAACAGGATGAGATGACGACGTCGAACCGCATTGACTAGAGAGCACATATTATGCAAATGCTAAAATGATTATTATGCCCTCAATTTGACATCCGATCGATCTCATCCGTACGTTTGCTTGGTGGATTGGTTCATTGATTGAATAGTTGATTGATCTATTGTTTCACACTGATCTATGGATATCGTAATACTTGCTGTTGCCTTTTGTGTTCAGCGTGTCTTGCACACGAGTACCAATTGCACCGAGTTCTCTAGGTGATTATTCACCCTTGAGTGGTTTCGATCGAATTGGTAATAAAATTTATCATTTAGAAAAATGACCCCGTTGTATGCAGATATTGATACAGACAGCTATAAATAGACAGAGCGAGAGACAGTGATACATGCCGATAGATATACAGACAGGCTCATAGACAGAAAGACAGTCATGGAGAGACAGACATGCATATAGGTAGGCGGGCGGATTGATAGACAAACGGACTGACAGACTGAGAGACGGATCTAGAGATAGGAAGATAGACAGACTCACAGACAGACGGACAGGGGTACAGACAAATAGAGATATAAGGAGATAGACGGACACAGAATGTGACAGACGGAAAGACAAACAATCAGATAGATGGACAAACATAATGACTGACTGAATGAGATATAACAAACATCAGTGAGAAAGAGGGATAAGCAGAAAGTAGACTGGCTAACTTCTTGACAGGTATAGCAACGGAGAGAGTTCGAACGAGTCGCCATCATGCCTAACTAATTCTGATCCACCACTTTTCAGAAACTACAACAACAGCTCAAACAACAACGACCACACCTGGTGAGTGCTTCTCGTGATATGCACCGTATGCAACAAGATTACACCAAAAACACATTTATTCAACCATGAAAACTATCTCATTGCTTTCTCGTCACACTGGCATGATTCGTGGCCGAATAGCACGACATGTGGTCATGTGCAATTTTGAAATGAATAGATACGATATAACAGGATGAGATGACGACGTCGAACCGCATTGACTAGAGAGCACATATTATGCAAATGCTAAAATGATTATTATGCCCTCAATTTGACATCCGATCGATCTCATCCGTACGTTTGCTTGGTGGATTGGTTCATTGATTGAATAGTTGATTGATCTATTGTTTCACACTGATCTATGGATATCGTAATACTTGCTGTTGCCTTTTGTGTTCAGCGTGTCTTGCACACGAGTACCAATTGCACCGAGTTCTCTAGGTGATTATTCACCCTTGAGTGGTTTCGATCGAATTGGTAATAAAATTTATCATTTAGAAAAATGACCCCGTTGTATGCAGATATTGATACAGACAGCTATAAATAGACAGAGCGAGAGACAGTGATACATGCCGATAGATATACAGACAGGCTCATAGACAGAAAGACAGTCATGGAGAGACAGACATGCATATAGGTAGGCGGGCGGATTGATAGACAAACGGACTGACAGACTGAGAGACGGATCTAGAGATAGGAAGATAGACAGACTCACAGACAGACGGACAGGGGTACAGACAAATAGAGATATAAGGAGATAGACGGACACAGAATGTGACAGACGGAAAGACAAACAATCAGATAGATGGACAAACATAATGACTGACTGAATGAAATATGTTCTTCGGCATAGTAATTTTTTATTTTTCCCTCAACCTCTTGCCTTGTAGTCGTTTTTCTTTCCGCCGTTTTTTCTTCATTTGTAATCATAGATTACCTGCTGACCCGTCACTATTTTATTTCATTTTTTTAAATATCGGAGTTTGCACCCTCTAATTTTTTTATACTTTTGTTGTTGATGCACACAATATTAACTATTTGTTTTTACTCGTGATTTTTTTTACAGGTGGTACAAACAATATATGTTGCTTCCGTGAAATGGTTCTCGCCGTTATCCTACTGAAGCAAATATATGGTCAGATATGTATGTGAAACAATTCACCACACGGATTACCCTATCTTTTTTACCATTGTGAATCCTTTTGAATTAACCTTCTATTTCTTTAGAACCCTCTTTCAACTACTGAATAGACTCATACGAGCCAACTCTCACGGTTCCTCAACTACATTTCATATTGATTATTTTAAAACTAAAATTCCCGCAAGCAAATACAAAAGTCACCAGAATGAAAATTTCTTCCCTTATTGTGAAAACAGTTTGCTGGGACTCATTAAGTAAGCATCTAACAGCACGAGTCAAGCAACTGGTGTTTGGTGGTAGATGATGGACCGATTGGTGTAAGATTGTCGGACGAGGCACCAAACAGAGTAAGGAGTCACGTATCTCGCTTGAATTTCGGGAGCACAAGGGGGAGCGTATAACTGTAATATCTTTTTTTGCTCAACGAACAACATTCTGACAAAGAAGCACTGTCTTATTTTCCTCGGTCAGTATCACGGGCAATCTAATCAAAGTGTGCTTTGCACAGTTGGAGCCTTCCCGTTGTAGATAATTAACCACTGCAATTCAGTGGGATTATTGCATTACAAATATATGATAACATAAGTCGGATCAATTCAATTGAAATCATCTCATACAGCTCATTGTTTGAATTGTTTGCAACTCAGAAATCAAATTTGAGAAAGGATTTGGTGCCTATTCAAGCATCGTTATTCTTGCTAAGGTTGACTTAGCAGCTACACACAGTTCCAATCTCAACCTGCCTATACAAATTAGTCTTCGCTTTAACTCAATTCATTTTGAAAGTCAATGGAAAACTACTAATATGATAACTAGCCAAAAATACTGATCTATCTCACACAAAGTCTCGCAAAACTATGTAGATTTCACACACTTTACATCGAGGAACACAAATTCTGATGCACTCCGAAGTTGACACAGTGGAAGGGTGAATGTGGATTTCGTTGATGTGCAAGTACTGATCGTGCATGCTGAGAATCACGGTGATCTAATTGCATATCCTTCACTATGCTATCATCTAAACCATGTGTGTTATGTTATGGTGCTTTGGCAAAATGGTATACCAAAAGGTATTGTATTCACTAATAGGATTAAAATAATTCACTCAGCTGTTGTCAATCTGGGGTGTGTTGTATGTGAAACAAGGTCTGTCATTCAGCATACAAAAGATCCCACTGCATAGTTCAAATGATTTATTCTCCCAACGAAGATTTCTCACAGAACGTTTGATGTCTCCCGATGTTGTAGTGGTCGAGGAAGAACCATACTGAAAATTCAGATGACCGTGTTCCTGAGGTCGATCGGTTGATTAAGTCACGCATAAGTACCAGAAATAACACAAAGAAAACTAAGACTGTATTCGAATACGGAACTTACGCTGAACTCAGTCGACTGGTACACGAAGCGAAACACATTCACCTGAATTCCGTTAGCACAATTCACAGTTATCAAATGGCAAGTTTTCTCATTTATGGTCGTATGGGAAAAACAAATGAACTTCGTCATTCGTCGACAGACAAATACGTACAGATTAAACACGATACGCTTGTAAAGAGGTCAACGAAGCCGCACGATTCCCAGAGCAAGGCTGCGATCTTTCTCAATGATAACATGATTGAAGTCATCAGCATCATCATTATGTGAGCGATTATCGATGAACCAATTCGTATCTGAAGGATCATCATCATGAGCGGATGCATCATAACCATGTCATTACTATCATAAACTTCAATTCAGTTCAGCTCAGTTCAAACAATCATCAACCAAGCACTGTGTGCGCTGGTCTTGGTTGCTTCCTCCCAGCGACAGCCTCAATAAGAAATAATGAGAAAGAACAGGAATATGAAGGGAGTAGTCAGAGAACTACGAAAAACAGTATGAATTTTATAAGGAAAGTTTGTGGATACAAGATTGCTAATGATCGCTACACCTGGCTACTTCTTTAAACAACTAAGTGGCAGGTCTCTTGGACCCTATTCCGGAAGCTTAACACGTCCCACATAGCCAAGTCAACGAGTTAGATTTCCCATAACTTTGTTCCATGTCATGTACTGGCCACCCCTACGCATCTTCTAACCGTTACTCGCCTCAGCGAACATTTTACATCGAGGAATCTTATCACGGGACATGTGCAACACATGTCCTTATCATCTTGGATTGATCAACACAAGTGTTTCATCTAGTAATTTGGTTCGTGAACCTAAGACTCTTCGCCGAACATCAGCATTGTTTAAAACGTGTTTCCACTAGATGCGACAAATGCTACGAACATATCGGTGTTCAAATGCTGACAATCTTCGTAAGTTCTCTACTCGCAGTAGCCATGTCCCCGAAGCATACAAAAGCACTGGCCTGACTGCTGTAGTGTACGCCCGATCCTTGATGGACAATGATGTATAATGTCAATGCCATAGATGACTCAAGCTTGCAAAACCCAAACGAGTCTTCCGTATACGCAAAGACAGCTCATCCAATATGCGACCTCTGGGTAAAATTCTGTTTCCCAGATAAAAGAACTTATGTGCTTGATCTGTAGTCTCCTCAGACACAAAACGTATGCCAAACCATGTTACACAGTCAGTCAGACTGTCCACAAAAGCTTGTAACTTTCTTCGACCCTCACTTGGAAGAACTACGTCGTCCGCATATTCAAGGTCTGACACTTTGCCATCCGCGAAACGTTCAATACTACTATCCCCAATAGATAAAAGCCCATTCTCCGGGACAATATCACTTACAATGGAAAGGAGAATGGGGGAAACCGTGCATAAACCATTTATCGTGGGGAGCTCGGATGAAAGAGCACGGTAAACCTGAACTCGGCTTCGGCTATTCGTGTACAGATACCATGTAGTGCAATTGAATTTCTCTGGTACACTTGTGAAAAAGAGGCAGAACCAGATAACTGTGTGGTAGACTGAGTCGAAGACCGCTTTTGAATTAAGAAAAATAGAGATTATGGGTTTACCGAAGGTGTGCCCATGTTCTAAAATTTGTCAAAGAATGAAGATATGGTCAATACACCGTCGGCCAGGTCTAATTCCAGCTTGATTCTTGAGCCAAAACATTTTGCGAGCTGTTGATAAGCGGTGGAGAATAATACCAGCAAGCAGTTGCATGAAATGCTAATCAGACTTTACTATCTGTGTTTATTACAGGAGAACTTATCGCTGTTCTCCTTGTTAAT